TCCTCCAGGGGAATCTGTTGGGACCTCATTCCATATTAACTCTCTCTCTTCTGACGTCTTCTGTCCTTGCCTCTCTGTCCTTAACTATACCCAGTAGATATCTCTTGTCCAGACCTCTTCTATAGTGCCAGTCCTACATCTCTGCCTGTCTTCTGGACATTTCTGCCACTTGTTTGCACCCCACATAAAATTAGTCAGTAAGTTCTGTCATTTCTTCCTTTTGAAGTGTTATCTGTATCCCCCTTGTTCTCACCATTCTCACCCTCTTCATTCAGTCTCTCCTTAATTAACAGGATAGAATGGAGCTGAGAGTTCTTGAGTGCAAACCCTTCATTTTACTGATAATAATAACTGACATCTGTGTAATATTATGAAGGTTATAAAGTGATTTGCATACATGATTTCTTTTTGGTCTCACAACAACCCTGCAAAGTAGGTATTACAGGTTTTATTACGTCTCTCTCTTTCCTGATGAGAAAACCGTGTGTCTATTATTATCATTCCCTACTTTACTAGTTAGAAAAGCTAAGTAGTTTGCTCATGGTCCCATGGAGTCGGGTTTGGGATTTGAACCCTGGTCTTTCTGACTCCAGGTTCAGCATCCTAGCCACTCCAGTATGATGGAACTAAGGCTGAAAAGAAAAGCTAAGTAATTTGCTCAGGGGCTCACGACTATTAGTAGTTGAGCCCAGACCAGTATCAAGATTAGACTCTGTCTAGTCTTGTCTGAATTATTGTAATAGCCTTTAAACTCACTGTTTTACCCCTCAAATGCTGTCTCCTTCAGGAAGCTTCGGAAGATCTTTTGTCTTCTGGAAACAAAACAAAACAAAACAAAAAAACCAAAAACCAAACAGAACCGTCTTCATGAAATAGTATGTTTCAGAATGCTTCCATGCACTTATCATGTAATATTGTGTCTTCTGACTACCAGCATTGGCATCATCCTGTTACTGGACTAGAGCTGTGAATTAGTCATGTAATCACAGAATCTCAAACTTGTGCCTGCCTAGGAAGGAACTCTGTCTACAATATCTCTGACAAGGGATCATCCAGTCCAGATCTCATGAGGGGAGGCAGCCCATCTTATTTTGGGCATAGCTGTAGTTGTCAGGAAATTTTTACTTATGTGGAGCCTATGCCTTCCTCTCGGTAGCCTCCACCCGCTGGCTCCTGGTTCTACCCACTGTGTTCAAGCATAGCAAGTTGAATCTCTCTTACTAGTTGTGCCACCCTGGGCGTAATACTTAATCTCTATTTGCTTCAGGTTCCTCAACTGAAAAGTGAGGATAATAACAGCACTACTTCCCAGGGTTGTTGTGAGGATCAAATAAGATAATATTTGTAAAAAGTACTTAGCACAGTACCTGGCATATCATAAGTGCTATATGAAACATAGCTATTATTAATATTTTTTAAAAGTGCTTGGCATAATACCTGACACAGAGTAAGCACAATATAAATGTTAGCTATTATTAATATTTGTAAATAGTACTTAGCATAGTGCCTGGCACATAGTAGGCACTTTAAAAATGCTTATTTTCTTCTCTTTCTTTCCCTTCCTTTTTCCCTTCTATATGATATCTCTTCAGATACTTGAAAAGAGCTATTGGATTCTCCCCAAGACTTCTGTCTAGGTTAAATACTCCTAGTTCCTTTAAGAAATCCTTGTATAGTCTGGTCTTATGGTTCCTCGTCATTCTGCTTTTTGACTTCCTTTGTATGTTCTTTGGCTTGTTGGCATCCTTTTAAAAAAATTGTTACCCAGAACTGAATATGTTACTCTAGTGCAAGGATTCTTAACTGGTGTGTGTGTGTGTGTGTGTGTGTGTGTGTGTGTGTGTGTGTGTGTAACCTGTTTGGCAGACTTCTAGTGAGGCCTATGGACTCTTGAAAAAATGATTTAAAATGCATAAAAGGAAATACATAGAATTATAAAGGAAAGCAATTATATTGAAAAATAAAAATCCCACAAATTCATTGATCTCAGGTTAAGAACCTTTGTTCTAACTATAGAGTGGCCATGACAAAATACAGTGAAGTAATTATCTATCTCCTGTGTGCTGGACAAATCAGCATCTCTTAAAGCAGTTCCTAGCAGAGTGCCTTGTACAGAGTATTTGCTTCATCAATATTTGTTGAGTTGAATCACGCGAAGCCTAACTTACATTGACTTTTTTGGCTCACACATTACACTTTTGACTTATTGAGCTCAGCCCGATAAAACTCCCAGACCCTCTGGTTCTGAAGTTGAAATGAAAGTTGAAATTTCACACCTTTCTGTAAAATGAGTGAGTAGGACTAGGTGATCTCTTCTAAGGTCCTTCTAAAACCTATGATGCTTTATGGGTCAAGTGCCTCTTGGTCCTTGGTCAGTTGGCCTTGCTTCATGGCTAGGCCTCAGACTTTCAGAGATGACATTTCATTACCTACTTTGAACTAAGCAGTTATTGTACTACAAAGTTTTTCTTTTCTTTAGACTTAACACAAAATTGTGTGAAAGTAGTGTGAACATTAGAGCTCCTGGGAACATAAGCTTTTTTGATATGGGAAGAAACCGTGATAGGGAAGCCTTTCAGTGGGACTATTTGGTTTATGTTCCTCATAGGAATTAAAAACCTTAGTTTGCCTTTTCCCCAGCTGTGTCTATGAAAAAGGACTTTCACACAGAAATCCATCAAGAGGCCAAAAATTCAGAGTTCCTGATCCAATTCACGTTCCCTTATCTTAAATGTTAATGAAGTTGTATATACCTTAAATACTCAGCTTCACTCCCTCCTGTCCTCTCCTATATCCTCCCAACATGCCTCCCTCTCTCAAAAAATTAATCCCCATATCCATCCCTTTTTATATATGTCTAATTCGAAATAGTCCATCTGAAGTTGGGTTTTCGGTTTGTGTTAATATGATTTTTGAGTGCCTGAAAATTTGACTTGTGTTAATTTAGATCACTAAAAGCAATTTTCCTATTTTAGTTAAGCCCTAGAGCAAAGCCAGCTTGTTTAAAGATGCTCCTGGATCTTCCTGTAGCACCAGGGAATGACTATTTCCTTCCTCCCGTCATCATCTGTTCAGAGATGGAGTACAGTGCCTCATTCATTTGGACAGGCTCTAGACTCCACCTGGGGCCATTATAGTTTAACTGTAGTATCTGGGGGCCATCTCTTAATAGGCTGGTTGGCATGAAATCTTTACAATGTCACCAATTTTTTTTTAAAGCATCTTTATTATCTTCTTTAAATGTTAAGCACTTCCTTATTTGCCTCCACCCCCACCCCCAACCTGTGAGAATGAATGCCTCAGCTTAATATTGGTTTTATTTCTTTAGTTGTTTCAGAGCAGAAATTTGTGGGCTATTTATTCTCATAGAGACAGAAATGGTATGTGTTAGCCCTGGTGATAGTTCAAGTTAATTACCAGAGGTAGCCACGATTCTTGGCTTCTTTGAAGGAAGCTTGGATTTAATGTAGTTTGACTGCCTTTGAGAGGCATACACTAGGGTGTGAAAGGCAATAGTAATCCAGAGGGCATTTTTTTATGCTAAAATGCAGAGCAACTAAGCTACTGTTTGTAAGGTAGACGATGTTTCTGAGAGTTAATTCTTTAATGGAAAGACCCCCAAAGGTAGTTTTCTTCTTGTATTATGTGCTAAGGGTACAAAAGCTGTTCAGAGCCATCTTGTTAACAATTTAGGGAGCCTGAGGGCCCAGCTTAATTTGGTTCTAGAGTCTTATAAGATTTAAAAAATAATTGTGTGCGTGTGATTAAGAGAAAATTTTTGTACTCTTGAGAACACTCAGTTCTATAACCCCAGGGATGGCACATTTCATAGATGGGTAGCTAGTTAGCTTCTACATATTGTACACTGGCAATATATGCTGGCTTCGATATATACTTTTGTATACACTGGTAAAAGTGGTGATGGAGAATTCTTTCCTCTTTAGTGTGCCTCTCTCTATAACATTAAAAGGAAAAGTATTTTTGGTGTGCTATTTTAGCTTTGTGCAAATACTAAAATTTAGCATAATAACATTGAGTGGTATTTTAATTTTACTAGTACCAAGAAGCACATGGTTATTTGAATGAAATTTGATACCACTGAGGTCACTATTGGCATGTTCTATAATCCTTGTGAACTGGGCGGCCCCCAACTCTTGTGAATAGGTTTGGCTCCAAAAGTTGGTTTATAAGTTAATTGTTTAGAGCTCAAAATGCATTTTCCCTAAGAAACAACGAAATAAGAAGAGATTTGTTTACCCAGGCTAGCCCACAAAAATCTATTACTTTTGTAATACATTTGAACTGTAGAACCAAACACTTTGCATTGGAGTTTCTATGGAGAGAGTACATTGTTTTAACTTGGGATGCTAAGAATACATTTGCTGTAGGAGTAGGAGCTTCTTTCATGGTACTTCCCATGGGGATGGACAGCGGCTGGGGTAGGAGAGGATGAGGGATTTCTTCTTGTAGGAGAGAGAAGGTGGAAGGACAGAATCTCTAGTTGTGAGGCTGGAATGGTGGTGGACCAAGGGGTCAGAACGGGAGGGCTAGTTTTGGAGGGACTGGGAACTTTTCTGGGAGTTGGGGCAATTGGGAGGAAGTAAGAAGTCTAGGTGGTACCTAGGTGTGGGGTTTGGTATTTGCATCAGTTGTTTGTAAGGTGGGTACAGTGTGGCAGTGTGGTTTGGAATCAGAGAACCGGGATTTAAATCCCAACTGGACCCAAGTTTTTTGCTGTGTCAAACAATGGGATTGGATTAGATAATCTCTAATGTACCTTGCCTCCAAATCTGTGATTCTGTGGGTGTTTATGTTTATAATTATATAATTATTATATTATATCATAGAATTATATTTTCTATATTATATTATAATATTATATGATAATAGTATAATAATTATAATAACTGTCACTATTATGTTTCTGGGAAGCCTTTAAGTACCTAATGGAAGTGATTTTGTTAAGCTTAGTTGACTTTTTATGTTTTCCTTGATTCTAGTGGAGAGAAATGGCCAAAATGGAGGTGAAGACATCCCTTTTGGACAATATGATTGGAGTGGGAGATATGGTTCTTTTAGAGCCTCTCAATGAGGAATCATTCATTGATAACCTCAAGAAGCGGTTTGACCACAGTGAAATATATGTGAGTACAATCCTTCAATAAGTTCACTCGGCAACCTCTCTGTATGGTGTGGGTGTTAATGGGAAGTTTTTAGAGGGTCCTTACCATGAAACTATCTATGTATAGTCAAAAGAAAAAATACGAACCTATTTAAAATCCCTGGTGGCTACCTTCCAGGGGTGCCTCCTTTCCGGATATAGTTATCTAATAGCTAAGCCACTAATAAAATGTGAGCCACTGACCTTTGTTTTTTTTTACAACTATGTTGACTTAGTTGGTTCTTTTTTAGATGCTGGGAACATGAGCATATATTAAGTAGGCATATGTGTTTGGTGCTTGGAAAGTTTGGGAAATACAGTCATGCCCTATTTTAAGAAAATGTGATACCATGAACCATTCAAGCACAAAACTGCTAAACTAGACAAGCCGAGAGGGGGGATTTTTTTTTTGTCTTACAAAAGGATTCCTCATTTTGTGAAAGTATTTACCAAAGTGTTAATTCAAGTATTCTTTGACTGTATCCAAACTTCACAGCACAAATCCCCTTGGATTTGGCCTTGAGGCCACAGGTTCCCCACTCCTAATCTAAGAATTAACCATCTGATGTATTGTTTTATTCCTGAGACACTGACAGTTAACATAGAATTGCTGAGGATTTTGACAACTGGCCCCAACACAAAGACATATTTGTTATGCTTAAGAGATGGAGCTCTTCAAAGCCCTTATTTTATTGGGGGGAGATAGAAAGTGCCTTTGCCAAGCAATTAGCTTCATTGTTTGGGTTGGCAGTGACATGTGGTGTCACCTTCCCTCAAAGTATAGAAAGCATTTTGCCTTCCAGGTGGGAAAACCCAGCAGTTACACAGCTTTGGTTGTCATGTCTGGACTGATGCCAAATAAAAGACCTTCAAACACAGATAGACTTTCAGCACCAGTCTTTGTCACTGGGGTAGAAGGAATAAATTATATCTCAACCGACTTTACTGATCACTTTTCCTTTTGGCCTCAAAAAAATACAGTTCACCATTACATGAATTGAAAATGGGCCTGAGGGTAGAGAGTGGAACATTGAGTTCATTCAAATACCTGATCCATTGTGGTCAGTAAAAACAACTGCTTTTTCAGCCAAGTGCCAAGCTGTAGATTTGTGCGTCTTCCACAGACGGGATGTCTGGTTTCCACAGCTTCCTAATTTTATTTTTTAAGCCATCCCAGGAATGTCTTTTTCTACTGTGAAGTCATTGTGCTACTCTGCTTCCAGATAGCTTTTGGGTATCATGATAGTACTGTTTCCATATCCTTAATGTGGACCAATTACCAAGCAAACATTTGGAATCATTTTATTTGAATGTAGAGGATAGCTCTATTTTGTTAGAAAGAGTTTTTATTTGGGCCATCATCGACTGGGCCTATTTGAAGATAGTGAGGTGGCATGTTGGATTTGGAGTCATGGTGTCTCAAATTGTGTGATCTTTCCATTTAACAGCTGTCTGCCTCAGTGTCCTCATTTGTGAAAAGCAAATAATTAATACCTACCTTCCAGGGTTGTCATAAGGATAAAATGAGATAGTGTTTATAAAGTGCTTTGCAAACTTCAAAGTGCCGTGTAAATGATAGCTGTTATTATTGAGTAGTATTTTCAAGGGTCCTAGAAGATCTTCCTTCCATATTGAGACATTCTAGAAAATATTAGCAGATGTGAAATTCAGTAATACATTAGTTATTTAGACACCAACCTTCCAGAACCCTCAGGTTTCTAAAATGGTGCTTTCAGATTCAGAAGAATCTAGGAAATAAGATAGAACTCTTTGGCCCCAAAGAATAACCCCCTGAGCAAATAAATCCTTTGGGGAACTGTTAGAGGCCCTTAAAATTGCACCAAATTTACTGGTATTTGGTCTGTTTGACTTACGGAGCAAAAGAAAGTTCTCTAGTTGGCTAGTGATGTCTATGACAGGCTGAACTTTGGGGAGTAAAATCTGGGAAGAGTAGCTGGAGGCTGAAGACACAAAGGAAGAAAAGCAAAGATAATGGAGCTGGAGAGCTGCAGAGGTCAGGGTTTGCAGTAGTGCTGGTAGAGATTAGAAGTAGACACTGATGGAGAAGAGGACCTAGCAGCAAAGATAAAGGTGATAAAATTCTAAAGTGTTTGGAGGGTAGGGGTGGAGGAAAATGGCCACCCACATTCTCAAGTGACCTTGAAGTCACATTGCATCTCTGTTTTATATGTAGCACCTCAAGAGAGTGCTTTTGAAAGCATTTGTGTCTGATCCTGAGATTCTGCCAACCAGTACAAGTTAGGTTTCTGGGAGGGCTTACAGTATAATACTGTCATCCATTATGTATATGCACATGACACATGAGAGTCAACTGTATTATAGAAACCATCCTATGGCAGATTCTCATTGTTTCTAATTGTGAAAGGCAAATGGCAAAATTATGTAAAGGTCATAGTAACCTTAAAAGAGATGCCTTGAAAAGGGTAAATATGAGGAAATGCTGATGAATCAGCCTAATCTAGATCTTTAGGGCATCTGTTGGTTTTTTAAATGACTTTGAGTCATCAAACATTGCGGAGCAGCTCTAGGAGATGTTTGTGGCTCCGATCAAGCACCTGGACCATGAAAGTTGTTTTTCTCATAGAAAACTTTTGAAGATACTCTCATTTCTGGTTCCATTGTCAATGAAATAAGATGAAAAAAAAAATCTTTAAGTGCTCCTGACTGAGCCAGACGAAGCATGGCATTAGAAGACTGGTGGGAAAACAGCGAATCATAAGAGTTAAAGAAGAATTTTGTCACTTCTTCAAGGGAGATCATTTCTGAGCACCATCCATCACTTAAGTCCTTTTACAATATCAGGGGCAGCTAGGTGGCGTAGTGGATAGAGCACCTGCCCAGAAGTCAGGAGGACCTGAGTTCAAATACAGCCTCAGACACATAACACTTACTAGCTGTGTGACCCTGGGCAAGTCACTTAACCCCATTGCTAGCCCCCCCCCCCCAAATACCAACAAAAACTGGTCTATCTTGGTGATATTTGCCATACTCTACTTTGCCAGTTGTGCCAGGAAATCCATTATAGCGCTCACCTTAAGCCCTATTATGTAGAAATACTTTTTTTTTAAACTATCTTCCTGCCATGTAAATTCTCTGATTCTTCCTAAGGGCCGTGTCCCATATGTGATGCTATTTCATTGATAGATCACATTATAAAAATAAAGATTCCATTTTAAAAGTTGTTTTTGCCTAAAATTTTTGAGACTGTCATTAGGGGAAGTTTTGTAGAAAATTGTGGATTTGGGTTTTTAGATGAAGATTTAGAAGATACAGACTTTGGGATTAAGCCCTCCCCTTCCCACTGTATCAACATACTTATAAGTGAAGTAAACAAATGGGTGCAGGTTGACAAAGAATAATCTTTGGTCTTTTGGCTTAGTGATGGAAAAGTCATTGATGGTGTTTTGAATGGTGGTAGTAAGACAGAGGACAATGATAACAATTCAGCAGGTATTTATTAAGTGCCTGTTATGACCAAAACACCCTAATGTGCCCTGAGGAATATAACAAAAGAAAGAAATAATCCTAGCTCTTAAGAAGTTTGTATTATATCTGGGGAAACAACGTCTACATATATTAGTGTATACAGAATAAATATGTACCAACTAAACACAAGTTGGTTGGGGAACTCAGGCATCATTTAGAAAGTGATATTTGAGTGACACAGTGAAGGAAGTGAGGAATTCTGTGAGGGAAAGGTGAGGAGGGAGTACATTGGGGCACAACCAGTACTAAGACACTTAGGCAGTTGGAGTGCCTTGTGTGAGAGGTGGAGGGAAAGCCAGTTTGGCTGGATTGTAGAGTGTAAGAAGACTAGAAAGATGAGTTGGGGCCGAAGAGTTACAGTTTATCTGAGAGGCAATAGGGAACTGAATTTTATTGGGTAAGGGAGATTCTAAAAAGTTTGTGGATGGTGAAGAAGTAACTTGGGAGAAAGTGTCTTCAGCTTTTGATTCTCTTATTAGATTTGCAGAAAAGCAGCCATATTTAATTGCCTGTGAGGTGATGCAGCTGTGTACTTCATTTATATAAAAGAGGCAAATGACCCAGGTCAAACTTATGTCAGAATCTTTTTAAGAAAGCAAGTTCCAGGGCTGACTGGATTCATTATTCATTCTGTCCAATGTCCTTGTCTATCTATATCTGCATGTCTCTCTGCATCTTCACCCTGAGTATACCATATTGATTACCTCAATAATTAGTCATGTTGTCATAAAGCCAGAGTTAATCTGTGTTTACTAAGTATCTGAAAGAAATCAGGAAAGTGTATTTTAGAAGATTTGAGAAGGAAAAAAGAAGCTGTTTTCCAGGTCACATGACTAACAAGATGGAGGTCTAGATATTCTCTCCAATTTTTATTACCTCTCAAACCTCACCATTCTTGTGTCTCTGTATCTTAGGACACTAAGAGCCCTAAAATGAGGTGGGAAAACCTGATGAATTAGCAGCAGTAACAGACTCACTGGGTAACCTCTTCCACCACTCAACACATTCAGGCCAAGCTTAACAAACCAACCCATGGACTTGTAACAGAACTCACCACTACCACCCCTGCCCCATGGCTATGGAAAACCAAAAGACTGAAAATTACTCAGGCTGAGACTTCAGTACCCTGTGTTCCTTGCCCTTCTCTACACCGCTTCCCCCTTTCTTATTTCTAATGCGCACATTACCTATATGCTCCAAATGTGTTTTTATTTTTTTCTGGGAGGAGAATATGTATGGTGAGTTACATTTATTAAATACTGTAAAGATCAATGTAAAAAAAAAAAACAAAAAACACCCTAAAACCTACCTCCATTGTTGACCATAGAATAGTAATTTGCAGACACGCTGTTACGCACATTTTTGAACTGTTTGTCTAAAAAAGCAGCTCAAGGGATGGACAAAGTCCAAAAAGCCTCCTCAAGGAACTTTCGGAAGTCTGGTAACTGGCTAATAAAAACAGTGTGGTACCTAGCA